GGACTTCTCCTCGAGCGTGGAGCAGATGTGAATGCCCAGGGTGGCTATCATGGCAATGCACTACAAGCAGCTGGAGCAAACGGAAATGAATCGGTTGTGGGACTTCTCCTCACTCACGGGGCAGATCCCAATTCAGAGGCTTCGGCGGATCACACAAGTAGCACAACCGGCTAGGGGACTTTCAATTCTTCAGCTATTGGAATATTCTATTCCTATAGCCACCACTGATTCTTGAAGTTGCCCCTTTGATATGCCCTATTCGTTCACTCCCACGTACTGGTAGTTCGCGCGACCGCTGCAGGAAAACCCAACTCCTGCCTCCGTGGGCCGTGTTCCCGGAAGTCTGCCGCCCCAAACTCGTACTCTATTCCGCACCCTAAACAAACAACTGCTCATTTCTTCAATCCTATCTATCCTGCTGCTACCGAATACCTTGGTATCCTTCCGCCGCTTTCTTCAAATTTCGAATTACCTCATGCGGTGTTCACTCGGATAATTACACCCAGATCTGTGACCTCACCGGGCATCCCGCGTCTCGAAGCCCAATATCAGTCAATTTCCTTTATTCCGCACCCAGTCTATCACCTCAAACAAAGCCCCTCGTTCCACATTACAGAAGTTGTCCGTGTCCTTTATTAATACCTTTGGATTAACGCTTGTTTGACCTAATCTCTTTATTATTATTATTCTTACTACATGTTGGAAATTGTGAGGTGCTTCTCGGCATACCCCCACGTTGGTCTAGTTGGTTTGTTCGCACACTCTTCGGGAGTGCCCTTTGGTTTCGGGCGCGATATGGGTTTGGGCGCATAGGCTTATGGCCGCGCAGTTTGGCTTTTCGGGAAAGGGCTTCGATAGCAGGAGTGTGTAGGAGTGCGCGGGAGTCTTTGGGGACGTGCATCCGCAGGAAGGATAGTGGATGGTGGATTGGAAGGAAGGCATGAAGGAAAGCGGTGAGGTCCAGGAGGGCAGGTGGTTTGGTAGCCGAAGTTTGTCTTTTCTTTGTTAGCTTTTCGTGTTTGCTCATGTGTGGGAGACCTACTTGGAGCGGGGGAGGTTAGGACTTTCTCGTCTTTTCGTGTCGTTGATATATACTCCTGTCATTACCGTTAGTTAGATAGACAGTGTGCGCGATAGTGAGAGTGAGGTTGCTGAAGTGAAGAGTTTTTCTCCCCCCGCTGTGAGTTGTGAGATCGTTTCACGTGAGTGATCTTGGAGTTGTTTCATTTCACGGTCCATCACTCGTTCGTTTAGTTTCATACCGCCGTTACCGCCGCCGTTCGTTCGTTCATTCATTTACCCATTCGTTCGTTCGTTCGTTCGCGATATCGTGAAAGTCCCTGCTGATCCGCCGTCGAATACTACCGGCCTTTGGGATCAAAACTGGGTGTGTCTCCGATCCTATGGGGGTGTGTCCACACTTACCTTTAGTCTGTGAATCTGTCAAGAAGACCCTGGTGGCGGGAGCAGGTTGATGAGAGTTTCTCCGGACATGCCGGGAATGCCGGGAAGGTGTGGAAGGTCTAGAGGAGGAGGGAAGTGCCATGATGACATACCAATTTATTCACTAGTTGGGTCTGGTCTTGGGCTTTGGAGCTCCCTTTCCACTTTTCTATTTTCCTTCACCCACCCCTTTCCTTCCTTGTTCAAGCGGACTAAGGCCGTTGTTACAGGTTCATAGAGGGCTGTTAATGAGATAGTGTCTTTTTTCCTCTCGGGGGATGCATCGTTTATGGCCTTGTTTTCTCTATTCTTCGCTTTTATTTTCATTTTTCAGATCCAGCACTCTATAGGCATCTACTACACAATAGTCACTAGAGCCTCCCGCCGGAGTATAATTGCACATGGAATTTTCCACCGCCCTACAAAGCTTTCTGTAAGTCAAATTTGGTAACAGGTATGAGTTGATTCCAAGCATCTATTACTGTCAGAGAGGCTTTCCTCATCTTCGGTTTCCACCTGGGTTCGCCTTGATGGTAATGAAGAATTTGTGTTCAATTCGTGGACATTGTTCCAATTATGGATTGGAGGAACCCCCACCGCCAGATTAATAAAGCTGAAAATCCGGAATTGAGATTTAGGTTGGTCGGATGGATGGCGGACCCGAGTGAGTGCGGTGTTCGGAATTTGGAAAAGCCGAGAGTGACTGATGGGAGTCCTCGGCAGTTGGTTGTTCACCGCCGATAACCTTCCCCGAAAATCAAGCAGTGAACAACTGTACAAAATGGTGCTCTGCGCTGCTACGTTCTATCCACTATTGACCTCTCTTGCTTCTGTTGGGCTGGATCTAGAGGTATCAAATGGGAGACGGCCAAACCGGTCCGACAAATCCCCGAAACCTGATGTTGTGTCCCAGGGAGTTATAATAGTGGTGTTGCAGTGGCGGTTGCTCGGAGGGCACACGGTGATCAGAAGGCATATTTTCCGGTGGACGAGCGATGATCCAGAGGGTGTAAATTAAGACAGTTTCCGAGAGAGGACCCAACGAAGCCTTTCCGGGGCGGCGGGGGTCCTGTGGCATCACTCGCGAACATTTCAAACATTTAGTGCATGGATCAAAAATCAAACCGCATTCTCCAGGTCCACATAGTCTCGGGTTTCTCCCCGGTCTATCCCGATCCCTTTCCTTATTAGACCAGCTAACCGCGGGCCCGGATTTCTCATCCGGTACGGTTACAAGCTGAAATAACCGAGAATAGCCCTTGGACATCCAGAATTTCCCCCTTGGGATTAGGGAAATATAGCGGAGGAGCCTCGGTTGACACAGACCTTACCAGGGGAGCCAACTCTAACGTCCTAGCGCGAATATTAAGTATTCCTGGTTTTACAGGTACGGTACAGGGGATCTTTGCTCCCGAGTTCCCTCTGTCCTGTGAACCGTGTGTCTGTTCCTGCTTTCGGGGTTTATTACCCATCTGACCAGCAGGTTTTGAACAAACTCCATTTTATCCCAAAGCACTGGTATAGGAGATGACTGCCGCGGCAGAGCCTCCCAATTACCGGCGCCCGCCGAGCGGTAGCCGAGCCGAGTGAATGAATCACCACCGAAGTGCCCGCAAGCGCTAATCATACACACTTGGATCCCCAATTAATGCTGTTTCCCATCTCGCTACCCAACAATCAAACTGGAAAACTTTCCTACAAGGGTCTTGTTGGACGGTCGATCCCGGTCCCAATGTCCCTACACCACACCGGTGGGTCAACCGTCCGGGGCGCTCGCGAGCCATCTGTTTAGCAAACTCGGGTTAGACGGATGATGACAGAGCTTAAACTAAGGTCTAAGGCGTTTTTCCTGTTAGCCACTCTCCCGATGAGAAGTATTTCTATGACTACGAGCGGTATGGAATACTATTGACATAGACACCCCCGGCGGGAAGGGGCTCCAGTCCCCAACACAGACTCATCTCCCATCCTCAGGGGCAGCCGGTGTTTCGTGAAGAGGCGAGAGGAGAGTTTGGTCTGAGGGCAGGACCCGGGACACATAGGAAGCTGGAGGGAGCTCCAAAAGAATTCTCACTGTTGCAGGGGTTTTGGGGGAGGTGAGCTTAGGATTCTAGGACTTGCGGATATTGGGGCGGCAGGAGCTCCGGGATTCACATGGCGGGTGGGATACACTTATAGTAGTTGTGGATGTTTTTCAACTATCACAGCTCCTCAAAATAATCAAATCGTGTCCCTTACTTCAGCTCCGCTTGCTGGGCCAATTACAACACCCCCTTGTTCCCTGAGATTCAGTGTTCGGGAAAGCTCATTCCCAGTGACCCAACCAAGACAACAAATACCCCCCGCTTGATTATTTACTAAGAACGGAGTTCTCTTGCGGGAGCATTGCAGTTGCTGTGGGAACTATATTCTCAGCCCGGAGAACCGGTAAACTCTATTCGCGAAACCCGCAAAAAGTGGCCTAATATTTTCATCCCTTCCTTTCTTGACCACTATTATACCTCTTACACTCCGGGTCGGTAACACTAGGGTGAATACATAACCCGAAATCGGCTCGCAATCCACCCAATCCATCAACTCTAGCCATGAGCTTCTCAAATGCCCGTAGTGCTCTAAATTATTTAGTGAGCCCCTTCATCCTAGGAACCTCAGCCCCACCTCCGAACCTCCAACCCACCAAACCCCGCTATAAGGATACCCCAAACTCTAATTGCACGGATGGCACAAGGATTGAACGGGAAGCTGTTGTTGTGTAACCCAATGTATACCAAGGTGGGAGTCGGAAGGGAAGTGAAGAAACCCGCCCGTACCGGTATTTCGCGCGACGGCTGCAAGAAAGCCCAACTCCCGCCTCTTTGCGCCGTGTTCCCCACAGTCTGTAGCCCCACAACCATACTCTCTTCCGCACCCCGGGCAAATAATTACTTATTTCTTTGATGTCGTCTATCCTGCTGCCCCCGCATGCCCTGGAAGCCTTCCACCACTTTCTCTAAAATTTTGAATTACCTCATGCGGAGTTCACTCGAATATGCACACCCGGGTCTGTGACCCGCACCGGGCGTCCGGAGTCTCCAAGCCCAATATCAGCCGATCTCTATTCCGAACCCAGTACAACATCTCAAACAAAGCCCTTCGTTCCACATTACAGAAGTTGTCGGTGCATACTGAGTGCCCCACTTTAACATCTAACACCGATTGAGTCTTCTACGACCCAATCTCGCTATTATTCTTATTCCCATTATCCGCTTTTGTGAGAAAAATTAGATATATATCCGATTTTATACTGTGGAGTTTAGGGATACGTCAACACTTACCGTCAATCTGTCTGTCAAGTAACTCTGATAGCAGGAGCAGGTTGATGAGAATTCCTTCGGAGATGGCGGGAATGGATGAAACGTGTTTGGGAAAGGAGAGAAGTGCCACCCCAGCCTACCAATTTATTCACCGGCTAGTTGGCCCTGGTCTTGGGCTTTGGAGCTCCTTTTCTATTTTCCTATATTTCTTCATCGACCCCTTTCCTTCTTTTTCCAAGCGCAATAAGGCCGTTGTTACAGGTTCATGGAGGGCTCTTGTTAAGGAGATGGTGTCTACTTCCCTCTTGTGGCATGCATCGCTTATCATCTTGTTTTCTCTGTCCTTCATTTTCATTTTCCTGTTTTCAGATCCAACACCCTATAGGCACGTAATCGTAGTTTAGTCATTGGAGCCACCCTC